ACCATCCTTCATTACTTGACAGTGACTTGAGTACTGCTGTGTGCCAGCTGATGAAGGGGAAGCTCCATGGATGCAGGGCCTCTGTGGCAGAGGCAGAGCAGAGAGTGGGGTGCTAAGCCTCTGCCTCACTGTGTAATACTAAACCAGCCACTTTCCCAAAGAATGTTCCACATGTACGGAATGCAGATAAATGGCCCCCAAAAGATTTCAATGTCTTGGTCCCTTGAAAAGGAATCATGACTCACAGGGTGGGGCTGTGAGAACAAAGGCAAGAGAGTCTGCAGATGTAGTTCATCTGCAGGGCATTGATATGGGAGAGTATCCTAGAATATCCAGGTGGGCCCAGTGTATCACAGGAACCCTTTAAAAGTCAAGTGGAAGGTCACGAAAGGGGTGGTTCTCAACTTTCCTAACGCTGCAACCCTTTAATACAGTTCTTCATGTTGTGGAAACCCCCAACCATAAATTATTTTTATTGCTACTTCATAACTGTAATTTTCTGTTCAGATTTTTAATGTAAACATCTGGTATGCAGGATATCTGACCCCAGTGAAAGGGTCAATCAACTCTCCCAAATCGTCACAACCCACAGGTTGAGAACCACTGGGTGAGAAGGGACTTACTGATTCACTGCTGGTTTGAATGAAGAGAAAGGCTGCTGACAGCCAAAGGCTGCAGTGCTTGTCAGAAGCAGGAACTGGCCCTCTGTTTGCAGCTCAAAAGAAAATGGTGACCTTGGGCCCACAACCCAAGGGAGTAAAAATTCTGTCAATGACTCAAGGAAGGAAATGTCTCACCCTAGAGCCTCCAGAACAACGACCCGCTGGTGTCTGACTTTACTCTCATGGGCCCCAAGCAGATGCTGACCTGTGGAGCGACCGATCACTGAATTAAAGTGTCCGAAGCTGACAGATTTAAGTCTCATGAACTGGAGTTGAAGGATTTGGGTTTTTGGTTTGTTTGGTTGGGTTTTGTTGTTGTTGTTGTTGTTGTTGTTGATGATGATGTTGTCTTTTACTTATTCTTTACATTTTTATTTATTGTTATAGGAGGGAGGGACTGTGCATGCCACAGTACATCACACATGTATGGGTAATAAGCAGCTTTGGGGGACTCAGTCCTCTCCGTTCACCATGGGTCCCTAGACTCAAACTCAGGTCATCAGCATGCATGGCAAGTACCTTTACCAGCGGAGCCATCTAGCCAGCGCTGTATTCTATTTTATTTTTAATGTTGTATGCATGTACACAGGTTTGTAACTGTGCATGAGAATGTGTACACATGCCAGCAAACCTCAAGGATCCACCCGTCTCCACCTCCCCAGTGCTGAAATTATAAGCACGTGCCACCCTGCTGGCCTTTTCTGCACGGACTCTGGAATCAAACTCAAACCCGCATTCTTGCATGAGGAATGCTTCTCCGGGAGCTCTCTCCCCAGTCCTAAATATGGGAAATGATTAACGGTGCACGATTAGCTCCTAAGCAAATTCCTCTTTCTGACTGTACCTCAGTTTTGATATCAGTCAAAAACTAGAAACAAAGGACAAGATAAATTCTGAGCGTCTGGCCTGCTCTCGGAAATTGGCAGTGCACCCTGCTGCCATCCGGCCACATGCACAGCTCCGCCCCATCCCCATGCTCTACACACAGCTCCGCCCACCTCCTGCCCCTCCATGCTCTACACACAGCTCCGCCCCATCCCCATGCTCTACACACAGCTCCGCCCCATCCCCATGCTCTACACACAGCTCCGCCCCATCCCCATGCTCTACACACAGCTGCGCCCACCTCCTGCCCCTCCATGCTCTACACACAGCTCTGCCCCATCCCCTGTTCCAGGATGCTCTACAGTTGAAGATCATTAATAAAAATGCAGAAAAGAGTGAAACAAAGAATAGAGTATGAATGTAATTGGAGATGATCGTATGAAGTGAATTAATCCAATCTCAGGATGATCAATACAAGGGGCTAGAGCCATTAAATGAAGTCTAGGAGACCAAGAAAGAAGTTAAGGATTTGGGGCCCCCAAGAAGGTGAAGTACAACGGCTGATTAGCAGTGTCTGCCTGAGGCAGGGGGCAGACATAGCAACACATGCCAGACACTTGTCGTTATTGATTCAAACTAATTCAGGAAATACAGTTTTCTTTTCTCTCTTTCTCCTCCTCCCTGTGCTGCTCCCTTTCCTTGATCCTGTATAGTGGGTCATATCCAGTCAGCCAATCAAAATCCAAATAAATGGATAATGTCACTATATCTATCTGTAACCAAAACTGTAAATATACAGTTCAAGTCAGGCTTGCCTTTATCTATCCGCAGGTGGTTCTAACTCTGATCTGTTTCCCCCTTGGCTGCTGTGCGTTCGGCTTTGAATAACCTGGTCTTTCTTGAGGTTCACCTTCTACCTCCAGGAAGAACTTTAAGGGGTTGAGAGTCCCTAGTGATCCACAAGAATACCTGCCAATGAATTCTTACTTAACTTCTCCCATGCCATCCTGCAGCTAATGCAAGAGTTGATCCCTGTTTCTACAGGATTTGGAGAAGTTGGTAGGCCAGATGCTGAGGCCAGACTGTCTGGTATCAGTATCACACTATACCGGGTCGCTTCCTGTGACACTGTGGATGACTTATTTTCTCCAGAGCTCAGTCTGCTCAACTATTAAAGGGAAGGAATGACAGTCCTTCCCTAATAGGATCATAGTGGAGACTAAATGAAAAAGAATGTGTAAAAGCTGAGATCACAGCTTATGCCTGGATCACAGGAAGCCTAAACCAATGAACGTCAAGTAAGATTATTCTATCATTCAGAATGTGTGGCCAAGCTAGGGGGCTGGAGTACCATAGGGTGCAGCAATGGCAGCATTTACTCCTTCTCTTAGTTACTATTGTGAAGAGACACCATGACCAAGGCAACTCTTATCCAAAAGAGCCTTTAATTGTGGGCTGGCTTACCGTTTCCGAGGGTTAGTTCACTGTCAGCACGGCAGGAAGCAGGCATGCTGCTCAAGTGTTAGCTGGGAGCTTTACATCCTGATCTGTAGGCAGCAGGCAGAGATAGACACGCTAGGCATGTCCTTTACAAATCTTACAGCCCACCCCAAGCAACACACTTCCTCCAACAAGGCCACACCTACTCTTATAAGGCCATGTCTCCTAATCCTTCTAAGCCTTTGCAAACAGTTCCACTCCCTGGTGACTAAGCATTCAATTATATGAGCCTATGGGGGCCATTCTTATTCAGACCACCCCCCTCCTATAAAGCATAGGGGTGGGGAGTTTACTGGTATTTATATTTATATTGAACTTGAAGTAAGACCAGTGTAAGACCAAGCAAAGCAAAGACCCTGTTTCCTTGGAGACATCCACTTCATTTGTATGTTTTAATCCATTCAGAAGAAACAGATTTTAAGGTGAAATCATAGCACAACTGGGAAAGCCCCTTACAGTCACCCACAGGGGTCCAGCCTCTGACCCAGACAGTTTGTACTTTGGTTTGTGTCTCTGATCCCTTGCACAGCATTACATGGCGTTCTCTCCCTTCTAGGGACGGAGGGGAAATCCCCAGAATTTTTTGTGCAACAGACCCAAAGATCTGAGGTCCTGAGGGGTCAGCTTCAGAGACTCCATATAGCATGACATGCTGCCCTACAGTGTGAGTCACAACTCCAGGAAGGTACAGAAAAACACTGGCTTTTTCAATTCTCACCACAGAAGTCTGCAATAGCCTAAAACTCCACTGGGCTTTCTTGTTGCATTCAGACAGCAGTGTCTTACACAACCTAAAGAACACATGGCTGTGGTTACCACAAACCAACAGGCATCCTTCCCACCCTAGTTCCTCATTTTACAGATGAGAACGACTGAATACGAAGAAGGGAAATGGGCCAGTCATCACTCTGAGATCTCCTGGTACCCCAGGAAACTGCTCTTTCCATCTCATCCTAGGGGAGGCATTCTGTTCCCTCAGACTGTTTACCCACCGAGCCACTCAGCAGATCACAGCAGAAATCTCAGATCTCTCAGGAGTGAATGACAGCAGTTCCACACAGGGCTTTGAACAGTTTAAGTATTTTCACGGTCTGCCCACAGACCAGAGATGCAGCCACAGGATGTTGCTAGTCACGAAAAACAGCAAACAGAGCTGCATAAAAGCCCATTCAGATGGTTCGATCAGAAAATTCCCCGACACTTGCACAGATGTGGATGGTTCACACTTTCCATCGTTTACTCGGTGAACTGTCCCGAGCGCCTACTGTCTAACAGGCCCTGTGCCAGGTCCTGGGCGTGCCTCAGAGATGAGAACAGATAGACTTTCCCTACACAAGGAATTGGAGAGAGGCTGAGTGGTGCACGGGAACCAGTAACACTAACTTCTAACAGACCAGATAACACGGAGAAGGAAGCCTAGAGAAGAAAGGTCCCTCTCCAAGATACTTTTCATTTGGTTCAAGACTGAAAAGGATGTTCTCCCCATTCCACAGTGACTAAACCGTTCACAGAGACGATGATGAAGTTAACTAGACGCCTCTAGTTACTAGTTACCGAGACCAGAACCCACCCGTCCTAAGGACAAACTACCGACTCCAGATATTCCAAACTCTGATGACCTGTTGTTTGTGGTGCTGCCCAAACCCTGCGCTGTGCTCAGACGCACCCGCCTCAGAAGTTGAGCAGGACACCCAACCGATGAGCAAGAGCAGAGGAGTCTAGGGAAGAACGGGAAGGCAGGAGCCGAGCAAACCCCAGAGAAACCCATCTAGGAGTGGGCCGGGGCTCACCCACCCAAGCCACAGCCTGCTAAGAGGCCCAAGAATGTGGGCAGAAGGTAGCTAGAACTTAGGGCTGAGAGCAGAGGTAAGAGACCCAGGTGAGGAAAAGAAACTCAGAAGTAGCAAGGCAGGAGAGGGCATCCGGGTGAGGGCAACGCGAGGGCAGGTCGAGAATCCCGGAGACCTCCGTTCAGCTGGAGGCTCACAAAAGACATTCTTCGATCTCACTCACCTCAGATCCGATCCCGATCCTCAGGATTACAAGCAGCAACCGGTGCTTTTCTGGGTCCCTAGGATCTCAAGGGATCCTCAAGCGACCCCAGCTCAGGAACCTCAGCCCCGCTAGCGACGAGATCGTGCCCGGGCTCCAGGCCCGGGAGCGCGCAGGAGCGGCTGGGATGCGTGCTCAGCACCCCGCGCGCCACGCACGGACGACTCTGGAATGCACCGCTGCTGGGGACCGCCCCGGAAAGACTGAGCCCCCAGCCTCAGCGCAAAGCCTGCTCCGCTCCTCCCAACTTCCCCCGGACTGCCGTAAAGAAGAGGAACTCAGAACTGTGAGGCACCTAGCATTACACTCAGCCTGTAGCCTTAAACAAGTCACTTCGTTTCTCGGGAGGGGGACTTCCGCCCTCTGTGTGGTAAACAGAGGGGCTAGCCTACAGTAGGTCTCAAGATCCTTTCCTTTCCAACAGTAGTTTGGATCCAGGCGGTACAGAATCCTGAGTGTAAGACCCTTTGTTTGCCTCTCTGTTCTGTTCAGCTGGGATAGTAGCGCTAACCCTCTTGTAAAGACAGAGTAAAAAGCCTCAGTGTGAAGCTAGTTGGTGGCCTGCCATAACACACCTCCACGCATTGTTTATTTTGTGATAACATGAAAAGTCCAAGGTAATCAACACCCTATTAGAATTCTGGTGAGAGACTTGCCACTCCCTCTGTTAATGACCCACTTCCCCGAATGACAGTGCTAAGTCTGCAGGCTCCTGCCTGACTGTATAGTCCTCTATGATCCATGGAGTGAAGGAGACTTTTTAGTTCTCTCTAGAGAGCCCTGGTTGTCCTGGAATGCATTATGTAGACAAAGCTGCCCTCCAGAGATCCGACTGCCTCTACCTTGGACTAACGTTGCAAACTGTATCAGACTTCCATTCATCTTCTAATTCTATAGCATTTCCTCCCATCTCACCCTTAGGGAGGGCGGGGTACCCAGGCAGAGGCTACCTGTGCCTTGAAAACTGGAGTTTCTTCTTTTTTCTAGTGCGTATTAGAACCACACTGACTTGCCCTGGCTGACATTTGATCTGGTATCAGCCTTGACTTTTCTCTCCCCACACACCCGATTTCCTCTGACTCAGAGATGAGGTCAGCAGAAATGACATGCCATTACCAGAAGCCTTAGACCCAGGGCCATGAGAACAAAGGATGAACATGGAAAGTGACTGGAGGAAAATTCTGAGAGTCATTTTTGATCAACAGAGAAGGTGGTGGTCCTCAGAACGAGTGCAATCCAATTCTAAATGTTAGAGGGAATCACGATATAGAACGTTCCTTTATTACTGGAACAGGATGCCACTGTGTGTGTGTGGGGGGGGGGTCCTTCAGGTGAACAACTAGTAACTGAATATGTCCTGCCATGACTGAAGGCTTCGCTCTTGAGATGATGCAAGACCCAAGGCTAGAGCCAAAAATCTGGTCTTTTCCATTTAGCAGTGTCATTAGCTAAAGAATCATAAATGTCTTGCTTTCTTCAATTATAAAGCAGTAAAATGGGAACTACTCATCCTGATACAGTTATGAATAAAGATTCATTCAGGTTGGGGATTTAAAATAAAATGGGGTTGGGGAATTAGCTCAGTGGTAGAGCGCTCACCTAGCAAGCACAAGGCCCTGGGTTCCATCCTCAGCTCTGAAAAAAAAAAAAAAAGATTCATTCGGGCCTCTGGCTTCTGCTACGCTATCTATACTGGATCCTCTGGCACTCCTCTCAGATAGCCTGTGTGCATTATGAAGATCCTGCAGCACTGGATCTGTAGGACCAGCCCCTTCGTGTGCTCCAGCAGTTCATAGATGGAGTAAAGGTTGGGGTGTAAGCTGTCCAGCACTGCCCCAGCTAGCTCATCCAATGCTACAGCTGGCAAGCGGCAGGGCCAGGTCTCCTGAGCTCAGACTTTCAGGCTGACTCACCAGTGCCCCACCACCAGAGACAGCTCTACTGTGCTGCCCAGGTGAGGTACAGGGTCCACTCTTGAGTGCTGCAGCTGGTGAGAGGTGGGCCAGCTCTGTTGCAACCCTTGGACATCAACCATAGTTCCAGGTGTCTGCCCAGACCAGGAACATGCGCATAGCCTTTGGTGATAATATGAGCCGTGTTAGACACAGACCAAAGTAGTGGTAGCTTGGGGCCAGGACTTCAACTTTGTGTCAAGTGGCAGGGCAGGCTACTCATGTCAGGCTACTCCTCTCCATGCTTGAGTCTCCCATTCCACTTCTCTTCACAGTGTGCAAATCATTCTGCTTCTCTTTCTCTCCCATCTCTCCACCATATACTTGAACATCATAGTGGCTACTGCTCCAGGTGGGTCACATGCCTGGCAGGCCACTGGGTGTCTTCTACCAGCCCAAGCCATGTGCCATAGCCACTCATTTATGTCTTAGGAAGCAAGAATACAAAAACATTGCACACAGGCATACAGGCACACGCACACACACATCTTGGTTTATTGTTTTTGTATGCTTGAGAATGAAAACATCTTTGGGTTTTATCAATGTGGCTCTTTTATCATCTTATCTGTTGTAGGAGGGACAGGTCACCATAGGTAGTTTTATTATGCTTGCTTTTAACTTTTGCTGGCTGGCTTGATGGTTCTACACTTCACACTGTGTTTGTCCAGAGCTACCTCTGTGAGGAAACAGGAGGTGGAAACACTGGATAATAGTTGTGCTTTATAGAGATTGTTGAGCCATACTAAGAACTGAAACATGAATATTTCAATTTACAAATATGATAAATATGGTTGGAATTATCAATGAAACTGAATATGCCAGAATGTGAATGATAACTAAAAGACAAAAACTGAGTGAGAGGCTTATAGAAACTTCAGAAAAAAGAAAATTCGGTTCACGTTGGTTACAGATGCTGAATCTGAAGTAAAACAATGAAATATGCTAGTATTTCTACGAAGTAGCCTTACAAAACTTTTTAGTTGGTTCTAGTGTTGCACATCTTTAATACCAGCAGAGATAAGCGATCTCTGTGAGTTTAAGGCCAGCCTGGTCTACATAGTGAGTTCCCAGACAAAGAGAGCTTCATAGAAAGACCCTGTCTCAAAAATAAGAAAGAAAGGGAGGGAAGGAGGGAGGGAAGAAGAAAATGTATCCTTTATTCGTAATTGCTATATTAATGTAAGAAAAGGAATTTTTTCTCTGTACTAGAATGATGAAACTCAGCATGGTTATTCATGCCCTGTGACCTTTGCACTCAGGAGGCTGAGGCAGGAAGAATGCCAAGACTTGGGTGCCAGCCTGGGCTACTAGTCAGTTCCAGGCAGCCTGGACTACAGAGGGATATTCTGTCCCTAAAAAATAAAAAATTAATAAAGAAATAAAAAAAGAGAAACTGGTCTTGTGATATTTTATTATTATAAGGGATGGTAAAGATTATTATTTAAATTCTGTGTAATCCGATCAAATAGGAATAAGTTTGAGGTCTTTCTGTTGACTTTGTCACACCTTTGATTATTTAAGACAAACAAATACCAACAACAAAAACCAGCCCAGGTCCCTCATGTCAGAAATAATTGAAGTCCACACAATTACCCCTCCGTTACATTTATCTAATAATAGAGTGTCATTAGTCTTGTTAATAGTTACCATAGCTGCAACCAATCATTCTTCCCAGGCATCTATGTTTCTGTCTCATGGTGGAGACTGCTCTCTTCTGAAAACTATTTTATGTCGCCTTGCCAAGGTCAGTTCCTGGCTAGAGCAGAGTACTTGCCTAGCAAGTTGCCCTGCATTTTATCCACATAGCACAAAAAATAAAAATAATACTCAATGCCTCAGATCAGTTCCAGAATTTAGAAAGATACAATTGGTATTGTGTTTTTAGCTGTCAGCTACTTTGGGGTTTTCTTCCTGAACAGATAAATTACTAAGGGCTTGGTTTTAGTCTCTACCATATGACACATAAGCAGCAGAGATACTGGAATTAATCAGCTATGTTTGATATGTTCCTTATTTATTAGTTTAATAATATCAGAATGGCATTATATAATAATCATACAAAGTGGGACACATCCACCAAAAGAAGTAAATTTGTTCTCCTTTATGTTATTTGTGTGTGTGTGGTGTGTGTGTGTGTGTGTGTGTGTGTGTGTGTGTGTGTGTGTGTGTGTGT